AGAAAAACAAAGTGTTTGCTGAAAAAGTGACTACTAAAGGGGGACCAGGTACCACTCGCAAAAATCGCATCTTGCCTGCATGGACTAGAAGAGCTCTTATCCACCCTTTTCCTCATTACAAGGGACCCAAACTAGTTTGGGTTCCTAAATCTAACCCATAATTTATATTTGCAGGGAACAGTGAGAGGAAGCGGACTTCAATGGATCATGGACAGTGGATGCTCAAAGCACATGACTGGAAATACCATGGATTTTCTCTCACTGAAAGCCCTGCAGGGAGGGAATGTATCCTTTGGAAATGGAAAAAAGGGATACATTCTCGGTGTCGGAAAGGTTGGAAAGTCTCTTTCACACTCAATTGAGAACGTGTACTATGTGGATGGCCTGAAGTACAGTCTCTTGAGTGTCTCTCAAATCTGTGATAAGGGGAACAAAGTAGAGTTCTTGTCTAAAGTGTGCACAGTTACTAATCTGGTAACTGGTGAAGTGGTTTGGGAACAAAGTAGAGTTCTTGTCTAAAGTGTGCACAGTTACTAATCTGGTAACTGGTGAAGTGGTTTTAGTAGCCAAAAGATACAAGAACATCTATGTTGCTGATTTTGAATCTCTGCAAACTGGTGATATGAGCTGCTTGAAGGCAGTTGATAATGATGCGAAACTGTGGCATAGAAAATTGGGGCATGCAAGCTTCTCACTTCTGAATAAATTGATATAGAAGGACCTGGTACATGGTCTGCCAAATTCAAAGTTCAAGGAGCACAGAGTGTGTGATGCATGTGCTAGAGAAAAACATGTGAAATCATCTTTTAAGCCAAAGAAGGATGCTAGCACATCAAAACCACTCGAACTCCTTCATATGGATCTGTGTGGTCCTATGAGAATACCAAGCAGAGGTGGAAAGAAGTATATTTTTGTGATTGTGGACGACTATTCAAGATTCACCTGGACACTGTTTCTTAGAACAAAAGATAAGACCTTCGAGGTATTTGTGGCCTTTGTCAAGAAAATCCAAGTGAAGATGGAATTGAAAGTAGCCTGCATCAGATCTGACCATGTGACAGAATTCGACAATGCCAAATTTGATGAGTTTTGCAATGAAAATGGGATTACTCACAACTTCTCAGCCCCAAGGACTCCATAGAAAAATGGTGTTGTTGAAAGATAGGACAGAACTCTGGAAGACATGGCACGGACAATGCTTATTGACAGTGGAATTGCCAAAAATTTCTGGACAGAGGCAATAAACAGTGTGTGCTACTTGGTGAACAGGTGCATGATCAGGCCCCTCCTGAACAAAGCCCCTTATGAGCTAATCAATGGAAGATAACCAAAGATAAATCATCTGAGAACCTTTGGATGCAAATGTTATGTTCTCAACAACGGGAAGGACCAGCTTGGGAAGTTTGATGCAAAAAGTGATGAAGGAATCTTTCTGGGATATTCCTCTCAAAGTAAAGCCTACAAAGTCTACAAAAAAAGGACACAATGTATGGAAGAAAGTGTTCATGTGATATTTAACGAGACACCCTCTTCTAGCAAGGAAGGAAACAATGATGATTAAGACAATGAACCACTTTTGGTTCTTGGAAAATATCTGATGTTTCAAATGGCAAGGCTGATATGATGAGCCAGATGAAGGAGGCAGGTGAAGACAATGTAACACCCTCTTCCACTTTTCAAGAGAACCTGGTACTCCAATTACTACCACTGAAGCTGAAGAAAGAGTTCGAGATGCAGTGCAAGGTACTCTACAGGTAGCAAAACAAGGAGTGCAGGGAAATCCATCCAATTTGCCCAGTTCCTCTACCAATCAAACTTTAGTCCCAAATTGGAAACACAAAAACTCCCATCCACTTGATAAGATAATCACCCCCTTGATTCTGGAGTTCAGACAAGATCAAAAACCATAAATTCCCTAGCCTTCTCAGCATTTCTATCTGAAATAGAACCCAAAAATATCAACGAAGCCTTGAAGGATGCAGACTGGATTATGGCAATGCAAGAGGAACTACATCAATTTAAAAGAAACAAGGTATGGCACCTGGTACCTAGACCCTCAGACAGAACCATCATAGGGACCAGGTGGGTATTCAGGAATAAGCTGAATGAACATGGAAATACTACAAGGAACAAAACAAGGCTTGTTGTCTAAGGATACAATCAGGAGGAAGGGATCGATTATGATGAGACTTTTGCCCCAGTTGCTCGCATGGAAGCTATTAGGATCCTCATTGCCTTTGCATCACATATGGAATTCACCTTATTCCAAATGGATATGAAGAGTGCCTTCCTGAATGGTTTTCTTAAGGAAGAAGTCTATGTCAAGCAACCTCCAGGATTTGAATGTCATGTACATCTTGAACATGTATTCAAATTGGATAGGGCATTGTACGGATAGAAGCAGGCCCCTAGTGCCTGGTATGGGAGGCTATCCAAGTTTCTCTAGGAAAATGGTTTCACAAGAGGAAAGATTGACAATACATTATTTTTGAAAAAACGGGGAAGGAACCTACTCATTGTTCAGGTTTATATGGATGACATCATATTTGGGGCTACAACAGACTCACTATGTGAAGAATTTGCCAAACTCATGGGAAGTGAGTTTGAAATGAGTATGATGGGGGAATTGAACTTCTTCCTGGGTCTTCAAGTGAAGCAGTCCATAAAGGGAATGTGTATCAGTCAGCAGAAATACATCAAAGAACTTCTGAAAAGGTTTGATATGGAAGCATCAAAGGTGATCGATACCCCTATTGCTATTGCTACTAAGCTAGACATGGGTGATTCTGGATCACCTCTAAATCAAACAATGTATCAGGGAATCATTGGATCTCTACTCTACCTTACTGCCAGCGGGCCAGACATTGTATTTAGTGTGGGATTATGTGCAAGGTTTCAATCAAATCCTAAGGAATCTCATCTGAAGCCTGCTAAGAGAATTCTGAGATATCTTAAGGGCACACAGGACCTGATTCTATATTATCCTTCAGGTGACAATTTCAACCTTATTGGCTATGCTGATGCTGATTATAAAGTTTATCTGGTGGACAGGAAAAGCACATCTGGAATGGCTCATTTCCTTGGATCATGTCTAATCTCATAGGGTACAAGGAAACAAAACTCAGTAGCTCTCTCAACAACTAAAGCAAAATATGTTGCAGCTGCCTCGTGTTGTGCTCAGTTACTGTGGATCAAGCAACAATTGGAAGACTTTGGAGTATACATTGATTGTGTACCGCTTCTATGTGACAACACCAGTGCTCTTAACATGGCAAAGAACCCTGTTCAACACAAGAGAACCAAACACATTGATGTCAGACACCATTTTCTTAGAGACAATGTGGAAAAGGGACTTATTTGTATGAGATTTTGCTGCACGGAAGATCAAATTGCAGATATCTTCACCAAATCTCTGAGCAGGGAACACTTTGAGAGAAATAGGGTGGCACTGGGGTTAATTAAACCTAATTGAGAACCTGGTTCTGCTCATATGGCTATGAAAGTCATACTCAGGTAAAATTAGCTAAAGTGTTTTCTGACCAGGCCTAACTCACATCTATACCGTTACAGGTAAATACGCATGACGATTATAGAAGCTAAAGGTATAGTGTTGAACTGCGAAAGAGAGCTGCAAAATCCTTTTACAAAAACAGGTCAGGAACCTGGTTCCTGTACCACAGGTTAGTAGTAATGTGTTATTCTCATACTTTTTCAAAAGACTACAAAATTAATTCAACTGCCACATCATCCGACTTTTAAGAGCCTGTATATCACGTCTTGTCTCCCAAATCCCTTCACTTCCTTTACACGTTATGTATTCCCACAAACCTACCGTCGTTTCGAATTCTTCAGCACCCGTTCCTCTCCCCTCTCATTATTATCCCTTCCTTCCATAAAACCCTCTCACTCCCAGCAGTTCTCAACCATTATCTCCCGTTGCATCTCTGTAATTTTTTTTCCAGAACCCTCTACCACTTCTCTCACGATGGCCAACGAACAATCTTCTCCTTCTCCTGCCATCAACACCACTCCCACATCTCCACCTTCCTTAGCATCACCACCAGAAACCCACTCCTCCACTATCCCTGATACTACTGTACCCACACCGGTTTCCTCTTCATCTCTGGTCGCCGTTACTCCTCCATCAAACCCTGTCTCACTTCCATGTGTTGCAACTTCCGACTCCCCAAAGGTTAATCCTACTTCTCCTCCTTCTTCTAATCAAACCAAAGAACCCTTGGAAAGTGCTACCCCTCAGGCGTCAGAGGTCTCTAAGGAAGATCCTGATCAGTACTTGAACTCCTCTGTTCTAGAATCAGTGGAAAGAAGCGGCAAAAAATATCATGGTTATCGCTGCTGAGAGTCTTACGAATGAAGGAGCCTCCCCTCTGCCTGAGTCTCAGGGGGAAGAAACTCCATTCTTAGGGGATGAACGGACTATGGTGCTTTTCGAGTCTCCGGTTCATGTCACAGTCACAGAAAAACCTGTTGGAGAACCTGATTCTCCTTCAGCCAAAGCAAACCAGGGGACCATCTTTTATACTAAGCCCTTGGAGTCCATTCCTCCTATTGCGGTACCTTTTGACGAAGATGATGAAGATGACATGGCTATCAGTGCCCGTTTTAAGATACATAAACCAGCAGTTACTCTTGAGTCTTCTTCCAAGCAACCCACTACCAGGTTGCAGAAGAAAGAGGCTTTTGAGTCTGCCTTGCAGAAGAGTAAGCGGAGTATTACGAAAAAAAAGAAGAGGTTGATGAAAAAGGGGGAAGTTGTGGTTGACAAAAACATTCCAGTGGTTGAGGTTGATGAAGAAGCTGTAGAGGAACCTAGTTCCTTAATGAAAAGATCTACAAAAGTCCAAAAGTCTGTTGTTGAAGCTTCCGAGGAAGCTGTGGAGAAACAAAGTGAAACATCTATGAAGAGTGGTGGTAAATCTAAGAAGGTTGTGGTTGAGAAAGATTTGTCTGAAGGTGATACTGTGGCTGTTGCAAGTAGGATAGGGAAATCTGTTGAAATGTTTAGAAAATGAAAGCGGGAAATTGTGGGAGGACCTGGTTCAATGAAGACCATACCAAATGATAGTGGACTTGGGCAGGAGAGATTGAGAACTCAAAAAGTCTTGTGGGGTTGCATGTTTGACCCGGAAATCTCGGAGATGGCAGGTATGAGGCAAGTTCTGGAGATGGTGGAATTTCAGTAATGGGGTCATTTGTTTAAAGAGGATGTGCCTAAGGTATATGAAGATGAGGTGCAAAACTTCTATGCAACTCTCTTCACTATTGAAGGGGACCATATCTGCGTACTGGTAAATGGAGTTGACATTGTGCTTGACGCTTCAGCATTTGGGAAAGTTCTCCAAGTTCCATGTGAATGGATGTTCTCAGTCAAGGGTGCTTGTGGAGCTAAATTTAGGAGAGCCATTGTGAAGGAGCAGGCTATCCAGCAGGGGGAACAGGTGCATAAAAAGGCACTACTTCTGGTATATCAACTTCTCTTTGAACTGGTCAATAAGGTTCTTTTACCTCGTGCTGAGAGGAGGTCTATAGCTTCCAAGTCTGATCTGGTCTTAATGGAGGCTCTTGATGAGTTTACGCCGATAAATATGCCAGCAATTATGATAGAACACATGCAAAAGGTGGCGAACTTTCAAGATGGCAATCACGGGCTTCTATACGGATTTCTTCTCACTCGGGTGTTCTAGTTTTACAAGGTAGCTTTTGCCAATCCAAAAGTAGGCACCCGCAAGCAAACCTTCTCCAAAACAACTCTGGAAGAGTGTGAGTGTGTAGAAAAGGTTGGGGGAAACACTTCGGCAATTTCTCAGCTGATAAATGCTAAGAATGCTGCTACTGAAGAAATCAGAAGGTTGAAGGCTCAGAATGCCATACTGGAAACTCTGCTCAGTCAAGCTGTTAAAGCACCTGGTTCTGTTAATTCTTCCCATGAAGAAATTTCCCGCTTGACTAAGGAGAATGCTGAGCTTAGGCAACAGGTGGAGAACCTGCGGGAGAAACTGCTTGAGGAACAAATGTCTACAAATGCCAGCATGGACCTGGTTCTCAAAACCATTGCCTCCTCCTCCAAGCCTCCCTCTTCTAGTGCCCCCTAGGATCCTCTCAGTGACCAGTTGTCTTATGTTCTGATGTTTTGTGGCTGTTGTTTTCTTTTTCTTTTTTTGTGTTGGCATGTTGGATTCCGCCGTTACTGCTCCCATTGAAACAGTCCAATTTATTCTTTGCAAAATTTATTCTCAATGAAACAACTCTTCTTTTGCTAGTACAATGCTTGTTTCCCTTTTGTTTCTCTTTTCTATCATGTTGTGTGCACATATGGGGCATGAGTTAGCTATGTTAGACTTCTTTATGCTTTTTTTGCCTGATTGTGCATTTTTAATGATGCCAAAAGGGGGAAGAGTTGGTTAACTTGAAAAATTGAAGCAGGTGATTAAAGGGGAAGCATAGAGTCACGGGGAACATATGAGGTTACTGCTACTTTATCTAGTTAAGTTAAGCTCTATAAATAGTAATCAATTTTAAAAGTTTATTATCATCAAAAAGGGGGAAATTGATGGGCTTAAGGTCTCTTAACCTTATGTTTTGATGACCTAACAAACTTTCTGTATAGAACCAGATAAAGGGCCTGATGCATGTCTGGTACAATCATTTAGCAATGAACTCAAGATAATCTGGGCAGTGTGCCTTTGGATTCACAAGAACCAGTTTAGGGACCTGATCCCTTGGTGTTTCCCAGACAGAAGTACAAGTCAACTCTACAGTTAAAAAGCAACTACAGAAAGTGACTGCTGCAACTATGCACTCTACAGTGCAGCAGTCACTTCCCATTGGGAAGAGGCGTGTACCAACCAAGAATAGACATCATCCTTGGGATGTCTTTTGAAGTATAATAACATGGTGTAAGGCAACAATATATTCACTTGAGCATTTAGTGATATTCTCTCAAGCATTGAAGATCTGATCCAGCATTGAAGTCACAAGTGTGTCAAGATAAGAAGACAACTCCACTACGGACCAGTTTCACTAAGAGTCTATGTGTATCCTTAGTTGAGTTGTAATCTTGTTTTTCTGTTCTTCATTGTAACTCCTATCTTGCTTTCTTAGAAGCTTTGTTTTAGGAAACTCAAAATCATAAACCATCTGAGTTTGTGTTGTGACTAGAGTTAGTCATAGGTTGAAGTCTTTGTAACTAGTGAGTGACAAAGTGGCTTGTGATAAGTGTATTACAAGTTAGGGTGATTGAAGTCTTTGTAATAGAGTCATTACAAAGTGGCTTGTAATAGTGTAGTTACAAGTTAGTGAAGTTGAAATCCTACCAGTGTAGGTCGTGGTTTTTGTCCCCTTGAGTTGGGATTTTTCCACGTAAAATCATGCACCTTATTTACATACTGTTTCAGTAGTTAGCACTGAGGGAACTGATATAGGACCAGGTCTCTATACAGTTGGTGGACTCATATAAACTATCAGTTCAGTTATCAAATCTTGCATGTGTTATTGTATACTCCCTCCGTTTCAATTAAGATGAGGTACTTTGACTCGGCACGGAGTTTAACAAGAAAAAAGAGACTTTTGAAACTTGTGGCTTTAAAAGCTTAAGGGGTCAAAGCTTTATGGGGCCATGACATTTGTGTAGTTATAAAAGCTTCTCATTAAGGGTAAAATAAGTAAAATGAAGAATTTAAGGTTGAATTATTTCTAAATTTAGAAGTGTGTCATTTATTTTGAAATAGACCAAAAAGAAAAGTACCTCTTCTAATTTGAAACGGAAGGAGTATAACTTTTGTCGGATGATCAAGACTTTTTTTTTGAGCAAACAGGAAATAGATATATTAATAACTAAGGAACATCTAGTACAAAGTCAGCATAACATGCATCTCAGAGGATGCATTGGTTTCCTAAGCTTGCTAACAGTTTGCAAGCTTCATTACTTAGAAATTTTTCATGGGTAGTGGATTCAAGTCTATCACTTTCCACAAAATCTATTAGGATGATCAAGACTTGATATATCTCCATTTTATCCATCTTGTTAAATGGCTAACGAGTTTATCCTTTAATCAGAACCCTTTTGCTTCTTGTTTCAAACGTCATGCTTTTCAACATAAGTTAATTAATGAGTATATGACTTGACCTTGCTAAGGATAAATCGTCAATGCAACTTGTACTGTCCATTCAAAAGCTTCACTATGTTATAAAATAAAGACTTTAAAGTAAAGAAATCAAAGACAAGTAGAGAGAGAGAGAGAGAGAGAGATTTATTATTCAACTTCAAATTCATGTACATAATGAACTGAAATATCTTCTATTTATAGAAGAAAGGAAGCTGCTACATAAGCTGCTACTGCAAGCTGCTGTGTAAGCTGCTACTGCAAGCTGCTGTGTAAGCTGCTACTGTAAGCTGCTGTGTAAGCTACTACAAGCTGCTGTGTAAGCTGCTACTACAAGTTGTGGTGTAAGCTACTACAAGTTGCTGTGTAAGCTGCTACTACAAGCTGCTCTGTAAGCTACTACAAGCTGCTACTACAAGCTGTTGTGTAAGCTACTTGTAAGTTGCTTGTAAGCTGCTTCTGTACCAGATATAGATAATCTTCTGCCCGGGTAATCTTTATCCATAACGGAGTACCGAAATGATAAGCTTTTTCAGGAAGCTTATTTATGACGGAGTACTAAATGAACATCCATAATATAATATATATTTATAACACTCCCCCTTGGATGTTCATTAAAAGATAATGTGCCTCATTAAAAACCTTATATGGAAAACCCCGTGGGAAAAACCCTTAATAAGGAAAAAAGAGTGCATCGCGTATTTTACTCCCCCTGATGAAAACCTTGTTTCAAATATTTGAATCTCCGCATTCCAATCTTGTATACCATCTTCTCAAAAAATTGAGTTTGTAGAGAATATTATCCACCACTATTTTAGATCGATTTAAATTATTCTCATCAAACCAAGAAGCTGGTACAAGTCATTTTATTGAGTTCCTTGCAACTTACCTGCATCAGCTGCTTGTAGAAAACTTCAATGGAGTACTAAATGGATAATCTTCTTCAGGAAGATTATCTACATCGAAGTAATAAATGGACACTCACAAAAATATTTTCAAAGCATTCCTCTTTGGATGTTCATTATTATGTGCCTCGTTAAAACCTTACTAGGAAAAACCTTGTGGGAAAAATCCCAGTCAAGGAAAAAGAGTACACTAATAATATACATTTGCAAGCTGCCTCATTAAAAACCTTACCAGGAAAAACTCAGTGGGAAAAAACCCGAGCAAGGGAAAAAGAGTACAGTGCAGAGACTTGGGTATATCTGGATCAAGGAGTTCATCATCCTCTTCTGGAGGTAAGAATGGATCCTTAATCCGTGTAGGAGAAGAACTATATCTTGCTAGTAAATTAACAGAAAATGCTATGGTAGGCCTTGTAGCATTAGCAAGATACATTGGTGCACCAATTGCACTGAGATAGGGTACTTCGGGATCAAGGAGTTCCTCATCCTCTTCTGGAGGTCGGAACAAATCCTTATCCACTTCAATGGGTGCGCTTTGTCCATGAAAAAGCGTTTTAAGACCCTTTCTGTATAGGCAGATTGATGGATAAAGATCATGTCCGCTAAATGTACAATTTGCAGACCAAGACAAATTTGTCTTTTCAAGATCTTTCATCTCAAATTCTTTCTTAAGATATTCAATTGCCTTTTGGAGCACTTCTGGAGTTCCAACAAGATTTATGTCATTAACATAAACAACAAGTATATTAAATTCAGAGTATATGGACAAATAACATTATATATGTAACCCTTTTCTCAGCAAATATTCACTGAGGCGATAATACCACATACGCCCAGATTGCTTTAAACCGTACAAAGATCTTTATAATTTGATCGAGTACATTTCTCGAGACTTTGAACTATATGCTTCAGGCATTTTAAATCCTTCAGGGATCTTTATAGAGATTTAATCAAATGAGTCATATAGGTTATGCCTCGCATTTAAATGGCATGACATCTTCAGGT